ATACCTTATAATTAATACCTTATAATTCGATTTCGGATGAAGTGCTTCAAGGTCTCGACCTTCCCCTGTTAGATAAGATAAGATAAGATACCTTATACTGTATACCTTGTCAAGTAGTTCAATTGGTTTTTATCATTTTTGACCCTCGAAACACAAACTTTCCCAATTTATCACTAGACCTTTTAAAAAAATTAAAAAAACAAAATAATTATTATATAAAAGTGTTTTAGTACGATTATTGGTAACGGAGAAAATTCAAAAGCCTGTAAATTTAAATTCTCATGTAATTCTTATGGAGAATATTGTAAAAATGTTGTATGTAGTTTTTTTGTTTATGTATATATTTTGATCAAACTTGGCAAATTTATTTATTTTATTATAAGCTATTAATATTTTACTAAAAACAACACTTTATTAGTTTCCTTAAAGCAGAAAACCTAGGTCAATGATAAATATAAACATTGGTTAAACCGAATGCTATTTAGATAGATTTAATTGAAAATAAATTCAAACAAATGAAAATTCGCTTAGGCATGTTCGCTGCTGCGGGGGTATTTTTTACGACGATTTAATTTAGTAACTTAATTTCATAACGAGGAGTAAGATAGTTTTATAAAATTGCTGTAAAAACGTTCATGATAATCAAACAAATATTCGGAGGTACAAACTTGACCCTCGGGAAATGTAACCCAGTTATTAAAGCGTTCATACGCTCCTGCTTTTATTAGTTTGTTGCTCACAGTCTTTACAGGATTTAATATGTTGTTATGAAAAAAGGTTTCATCAAGTACCTTCTGCAGTAGGCACAGAAGATATTTATTCAACAAAATGTTTATAGATATTGACAATTTTATACTATACTTGTTTGCATTTTAGATTTCGGAAATCTATAAACACCAATTTTGAAGAATAATGTTCATAGGCTCCATAACCCTCAGACTACAATAAGGACTTAGCTACTCTTAAAATAGCTCTGCATACTTGTGATCCTTAAATTCTTAAACAAGAAATCGTTATGGATGTTATTACGTAATAAAATTGTAAGACCAACATTCTAGCATGAAAGTATAAATCAAAGATAACAAATTAGACATAAAATTACAATATGAACCTTTTTAAATCAGAAAGTTAATTTTCACAAAAAAAAAAACTCTTATAAAATACTAGGTGAATCATCATTTAAAAATTGTTTGTCGCCCTTAACTGAGTGCAAGAAATGCATTATTAAGTCCACTTAAAACATCTTTGCGATTCAAGTCCAATCTATCAATCAAGACTTGCTTGAGTATGCTACTGCAATATATTAAGTTAATTTTATTTATGATATTTTATAGTTTATTAAAATTGTGAAACTAAATTCAAGATATCCCTTTTTTGATAGCAAATATAAAAGGATTGTGGTCCGGCAATAGCATAGCATATTTATGGAAACGACTTTGCAGAGTTATGTTTTTTCCAGGCCACATGTGGACAAGGCCAACCCAGCAGAACACATTCGATGACTGTTTATATTTCAAGCAAGCTTATATGTTTTTATTTTTTTAATTCGCACTCCTGTAAGTGCCACTTATTTTCATAATCTAATAGTTATATTCCATTAAATATTATTAACTAGTTTGGTGTCGTATAAACGCTAAAAATAATTTTAATACGAGACCGACTTCTTAGTTTTAATATTTATTTTTACGAATTCAAATTTTTTCATAAAAATTTTAATAGGACTTTTTAGGGAGTTTACTTATAAGCCGATGGCTCATTTCTACTTCCTCCTCGTCTATAGGTATAACAAATACTTTATTTAGCTTTTTAAAAGCGAGAAAGAACAAACTATTGTCTTCAAAAGTGTAACATGAAAAATTGTTTCCGTTCAAATGTAATCAAAGAAGTGATACTCTGTTAATTACAATGGGTTCAGAGTTCAATCAACATTAGGCTGCGTTTGATTAGTGGAAATGTCAATGTATCATCCTTGATCAATACACAACGAATGGACTCAGGATTACAGTATATGTGTTTACGAAAAGTAAAACCATTTTTGAGCGTTATAAAACATCAATAATTGTTTATATACGTAAAATTCTGTTTCCAAACAGCTCATCTACTCACTGTGGAACGTTGTTGATCTCTTTTGTATATATATATATAAGAAGGTTTATGTCTTTTAATTTTTTTTATTTATCTTGGTTTTCTCCTCATAACTCTTAAAGTTACCAAGGTAAGTTTATGACACAACCAACGGCAAGTGACAAAAGGACATTGTAAGGTTTTAAGCTTCCCTACATTTCTTCCCCTATGTCTCCCTAATATTTATATCTTGAATCAAAAATCTCATTTCGATTTAAGGCGAGTATTTTAATTCCTAGTATATATCATTAGTCCAGGCAAATTAGACATATGCTCCCCAAAAAATCGTCTAAAGCTGGAAAGTGTTTTAATACCTTTTGGGGGTCCCAAATAAGACTCCTGTGAGTTTGCGACGGATTCTGACGTCTGCTTAAGTTTTGGGAGTCGAAAAACTATGAAAATTTTGCACTTTTTTCAGTTTTTCGCTTATAACTCCTAAATAATTAATCCTAAGGAAAAAGTTGTTCGAAGGTGACTTTTAGTGCATACATTTCCGCGTCGATTGATGTTAAATACGTCAAAATCGGCCGAGCCGTTTAGCCGCTGTAGCTTTTCAAAGTTGGGATATTTTCAATAACATGGCCAAAAGGTTGATTATTTGACCAGTTTTCGGTTTACAACTCCTAAACGACGCATGCTATACAAAAATGCACCTGTAGTTAGTTTGGAAAACACAAAATTCTGCGTATGATGTTTTTTTTTATTAATCAATAACGGCAATTGATTGTTACCATCTTTGTATGGTCGCCATTTCATTGAAAAAAGTATTAAAGTTAAAGTTGGGAAATTTTACTAAAATTGGTAACAACATAGATCCTGTCATTAAATGGATTATGAATTATTAGATAGTGGTTTATTCCACGATGGTCATCCAGAGGTTTGTCTAATAAGATGTGATGAGAGTAAGACACCCTATGTAATTTTAAGTCTAATATTTTTGTCTGAGGTTCCGAAAATTCTAGGATTCATATCCCAAACACCCATTATACAGGGTGAGTTTTAATTGTCCCCCCAACTTTTTTCTACATTTTTTCGAATATCAATCCCAGACCACTTCCAAACATTGTTGAGTAGTAAGTACTTCATTTTGACAAGGTGGTCATTTCCGGCCGCCATCTTGGATCCGCCATATTGGATGCAAAATATGTTTTTCAAATGTAAAGGTGGGATTGTGACCCAATATTTCGAACTAGATTTTTACTCTAATTGCAATGCCCCAAACAGTTTTTAAAAATGTTGATTCATTTCAAAGTTATGGGGGCTTTTTAAAACTTAATTTTTACCCCATTTTAACATTGTGCATGTACAAACTAAGACCATAATCTCAAAATAGTGCTAGATAAAGATAAGTATACACTACCAGTCATTGTCGACCTATTTTCACTTGGTTATGACTGATGTATTTTTTTCTGCCGCCATCTTGGATCCGCCATTTTGAAATGTGATAAATTATTTTAAATGTGAAGGGGGTGTTGTGACCCATCATTTCGAATTACTTTTTTAAGTTAAACTTAATTCCATGATCCGCTTTTCATTTTCATATTTTGATTTTGAAATATAGACATTTTTAACAAAAAATTGCAATATCTGAAAATAAAACTTGGTAACAAAAAATGGATTGCGGCATTGAGTTAAGCTTAAAAAAAAAGTTCGAAATGATGGGTCACAACCCCACCTTTACATTTGAAAAACATATTTTGCATCCAATATGGCGGATCCAAGATGGTGGATCCAAGATGGCGGCCGGAAATGTCCACCTTGTCAAAATGAAGTACTTACTACCCAACGATGTTTGGAAGTGGTCTGGGATTGATATTCGAAAAAATGTAGAAAAAAGTTGGGGGGGGACAATTAAAACTCGCCCTGTATAATGGGTGGTTGGGATATGAATCCTAGAATTTTCGGAACCTCAGACAAAAATATTAGACTTAAAATTACATAGGGTGTCTCACTCTCATCACACCTTATTAGACAAACCTCTGGATGACCATCGTGGAATAAACCACTATCTAATAATTCATAATCCATTTAATGACAGGATCTATGTTGTTACCAATTTTAGTAAAATTTCCCAACTTTAACTTTAATACTTTTTTCAATGAAATGGCGACCATACAAAGTAGGTAACAATCAATTGCCGTTATTGATTAATAAAAAAAAAACATCATACGCCGAATTTTGTGTTTTCCAAACTAACTACAGGTGCATTTTTGTATAGCATGCGTCGTTTAGGAGTTGTAAGCCGAAAAGTGGTCAAATAATCAACCTTTTGGCCATGTTATTGAAAATATCCCAACTTTGAAAGGCTACAGCGGCTAAACGGCTCGGCCGATTTTGACGTATTTAACATCAATCGACGCGGAATTTAATGCACTAAAAGTCACCTTCGAACAGCTTTTTCCTTAGGATTCATTATTTATGAGTTATAAGTGAAAAACTGAAAAAGTGCAAAATTTTCATAGTTTTTCGACTCCCAAAACTTTAGCAGACGTCAGAATCCGTCGCAAACTCACAGGAGTCTTATTTGGGACCCCCAAAAGGTATTAAAAAACTTTCCAGCTTTAGACGATTTTTTTAGGAGCACACCCTATATTTGATCTAATTTGCCTGGACTACATGTTCCTTCAACAATAAAAAAACCTTTCAAGTAGCTAATGAAACAATACCACCGTCAAGCAAGTCTACACAAGCCATTGATGTTAACGGCTCTGACGGACGATCATATAAACTAAGATTATGATGGTCAATACATGGAAAAGTGTTGTTAAAGAACTCTCAACAAAAACTATGTAAAAGTTTACATCGAAGTGCAACAAGCAATTAAATGATAAAAAGAGAGGTTTAAAAAAATATATATTTAAATATTGAAAACTTACCTGTATAACAACATGCTGTCGATGACAGTCTGAGCATGCTCGCTTCTTATGCTGGCTAGATGACCTCCTTTGTGTTTACACTCCTGCTCTGCCTCCTCCCATGTAACACGTCTCTCCTCTACTGCCTGGACACAGAACTGCTTGGTGGCTACCCAGCCCCACTCACATGACTGAGTGATCTCAGGTACCTACAACACCAGTACACTGTCAGTGATGTGTGCTCACTAGATGACCTCCTTTGTGTTTACACTCCTGCTCTGCCTCCTCCCATGTAACACGTCTCTCCTCTACTGCCTGGACACAGAACTGCTTGGTGGCTACCCAGCCCCACTCACATGACTGAGTGATCTCAGGTACCTACAACACCAGTACACTGTTAGTGATGTGTGCTGACTACATGACCCACTTTGTGTTTACACTCCTGCTCTGCCTCCTCCCATGTAACACGTCTCTCCTCTACTGCCTGGACACAGAACTGCTTGGTGGCTACCCAGCCCCACTCACATGACTGAGTGATCTCAGGTACCTACAACACCAGTACACTGTCAGTGATGTGTGCTCACTAGATGACCTCCTTTGTGTTTACACTCCTGCTCTGCCTCCTCCCATGTAACACGTCTCTCCTCTACTGCCTGGACACAGAACTGCTTGGTGGCTACCCAGCCCCACTCACACGACTGAGTGATCTCAGGTACCTACAACACCAGTACACTGTTAGTGATGTGTGCTCACTAGATGACCTCCTTTGTGTTTACACTCCTGCTCTGCCTCCTCCCATGTAACACGTCTCTCCTCTACTGCCTGGACACAGAACTGCTTGGTGGCTACCCAGCCCCACTCACACGACTGAGTGATCTCAGGTACCTACAACACCAGTACACTGTCAGTGATGTGTGCTCACTAGATGACCTCCTTTGTGTTTACACTCCTGCTCTGCCTCCTCCCATGTAACACGTCTCTCCTCTACTGCCTGGACACAGAACTGCTTGGTGGCTACCCAGCCCCACTCACATGACTGAGTGATCTCAGGTACCTACAACACCAGTACACTGTCAGTGATGTGTGCTCACTAGATGACCTCCTTTGTGTTTACACTCCTGCTCTGCCTCCTCCCATGTAACACGTCTCTCCTCTACTGCCTGGACACAGAACTGCTTGGTGGCTACCCAGCCCCACTCACACGACTGAGTGATCTCAGGTACCTACAACACCAGTACACTGTTAGTGATGTGTGCTCACTAGATGACCTCCTTTGTGTTTACACTCCTGCTCTGCCTCCTCCCATGTAACACGTCTCTCCTCTACTGCCTGGACACAGAACTGCTTGGTGGCTACCCAGCCCCACTCACATGACTGAGTGATCTCAGGTACCTACAACACCAGTACACTGTCAGTGATGTGTGCTCACTAGATGACCTCCTTTGTGTTTACACTCCTGCTCTGCCTCCTCCCATGTAACACGTCTCTCCTCTACTGCCTGGACACAGAACTGCTTGGTGGCTACCCAGCCCCACTCACATGACTGAGTGATCTCAGGTACCTACAACACCAGTACACTGTTAGTGATGTGTGCTGACTACATGACCCACTTTGTGTTTACACTCCTGCTCTGCCTCCTCCCATGTAACACGTCTCTCCTCTACTGCCTGGACACAGAACTGCTTGGTGGCTACCCAGCCCCACTCACATGACTGAGTGATCTCAGGTACCTACAACACCAGTACACTGTCAGTGATGTGTGCTCACTAGATGACCTCCTTTGTGTTTACACTCCTGCTCGGCCTCCTCCCATGTAACACGTCTCTCCTCTACTGCCTGGACACAGAACTGCTTGGTGGCTACCCAGCCCCACTCACACGACTGAGTGATCTCAGGTACCTACAACACCAGTACACTGTTAGTGATGTGTGCTCACTAGATGACCTCCTTTGTGTTTACACTCCTGCTCTGCCTCCTCCCATGTAACACGTCTCTCCTCTACTGCCTGGACACAGAACTGCTTGGTGGCTACCCAGCCCCACTCACACGACTGAGTGATCTCAGGTACCTACAACACCAGTACACTGTCAGTGATGTGTGCTCACTAGATGACCTCCTTTGTGTTTACACTCCTGCTCTGCCTCCTCCCATGTAACACGTCTCTCCTCTACTGCCTGGACACAGAACTGCTTGGTGGCTACCCAGCCCCACTCACATGACTGAGTGATCTCAGGTACCTACAACACCAGTACACTGTCAGTGATGTGTGCTCACTAGATGACCTCCTTTGTGTTTACACTCCTGCTCTGCCTCCTCCCATGTAACACGTCTCTCCTCTACTGCCTGGACACAGAACTGCTTGGTGGCTACCCAGCCCCACTCACACGACTGAGTGATCTCAGGTACCTACAACACCAGTACACTGTTAGTGATGTGTGCTCACTAGATGACCTCCTTTGTGTTTACACTCCTGCTCTGCCTCCTCCCATGTAACACGTCTCTCCTCTACTGCCTGGACACAGAACTGCTTGGTGGCTACCCAGCCCCACTCACATGACTGAGTGATCTCAGGTACCTACAACACCAGTACACTGTCAGTGATGTGTGCTCACTAGATGACCTCCTTTGTGTTTACACTCCTGCTCTGCCTCCTCCCATGTAACACGTCTCTCCTCTACTGCCTGGACACAGAACTGCTTGGTGGCTACCCAGCCCCACTCACATGACTGAGTGATCTCAGGTACCTACAACACCAGTACACTGTTAGTGATGTGTGCTGACTACATGACCCACTTTGTGTTTACACTCCTGCTCTGCCTCCTCCCATGTAACACGTCTCTCCTCTACTGCCTGGACACAGAACTGCTTGGTGGCTACCCAGCCCCACTCACACGACTGAGTGATCTCAGGTACCTACAACACCAGTACACTGTTAGTAATGTGTGCTCACTAGATGACCCACTTGTGTTTACACTCCTGCTCTGCCTCCTCTCATGTAACACGTCTCTCCTCTACTGCCTGGACATAGAACTGCTTGGTGCTTGGTGCTCTGCTACCCAGCCCCACTCACATGACTGAGTGATCTCAGGTACCTACAACACCAGTACACTGTTAGTGATGTGTGCTCACTAGATGACCCACTTGTGTTTACACTCCTGCTCTGCCTCCTCCCATGTAACACGTCTCTCCTCTACTGCCTGGACACAGAACTGCTTGGTGGCTACCCAGCCCCACTCACACGACTGAGTGATCTCAGGTACCTACAACACCAGTACACTGTTAGTGATGTGTGCTCACTAGATGACCTCCTTTGTGTTTACACTCCTGCTCTGCCTCCTCCCATGTAACACGTCTCTCCTCTACTGCCTGAACACAGAACTGCTTGGTGGCTACCCAGCCCCACTCACACGACTGTGTGATCTCAGGTACCTACAACACCAGTACACTGTTAGTGATGTGTGCTCACTAGATGACCCACTTGTGTTTACACTCCTGCTCTGCCTCCTCTCATGTAACACGTCTCTACTCTACTGCCTGGACATAGAACTGCTTGGTGCTTGGTGCTCTGCTACCCAGCCCCACTCACACGACTGAGTGAACTCAGGTACTTACAATACCAGTACACTGTTAGTGATGTTTGTGGGATAGATGCTACTTTTTGTGTTTATTAGTAAAACAAATTTATCGTCCACAATTACAAAATTAACTTCTTCAATCTGCTTTAGCAAAAACAAACCTACCGCTACAGAGTCATAGACGATCCTGAGTGACGTCAGTGGGTCCCTGAGTGGTCTTGACGTCACCCTCAGTTCCACTCTGTTCTCTCTAGAGATGACGTGAAGCTCCCTGACAGGGTCGCCTCCCACGGCACAGTGGGTCCAAGAGGTGGGTCCGTCCCAGAGGCGCACCTGGAACCCCCCGCACGGTGGGTCGGGGTCTTCCGGCTGTAGAGTTGTTACGCCAAGACGTTCTGCTGTCTGGCGGGGAGTCTCCAAGGTGGACGAGTCCGAGCTGAAATAAATACGGTAATTATTGAAATTGATATGCAATATACTCCTTAGCCCCTCATGATCGTTAGAAGAGGACGAAGTCCTAAAACAGCGTCAGTCCAGTAGGTTATCAGCTCTGGATTGGAACGTCACGAAGAACGAATTGTAGCAGAAATTTACCATCTTTCGTATGGCTATTTGATGATGATTTAACGCCACCTCACACCGGTCGTTATACATTTGACATTAACATCAACATCAACATATTTTCGAACGTAAATACGCTGAAATATATAAAAGAGACAAACATATATTTTAAGAAATTCCATAACAAATACTTAAGATTAAGCCCCATAAATATCCTACTGTTCGAAAATAAACCATTGCGAATACGAATATGCGAATACACTAGAGTTTCTGTTATTGAGGATCAAATATACACAAATATCGTGGAGAGGAAATGTACAATCTACGTATCTAACATATCTTCACATAGGTTTAAAAGTATAAAGCTTAGGCTGCTTACTATTAAAAAACATTCATTCACGTGCTATTTAATCCATTATATTTGCTAAGCAACTTGTTTTGATTTCTGTGTCATCATTAGGCGGCACAAAGACCTTTTTCTTTATCTTCGCATTGGATGACCGTCAAACAAATAACATAAAAGTAAACATTTAAAAAGAGATACACATGCACACGATACAATGTATGGTATAGATCAGCAACCGAAGTAGCCAACCCGGGAGAGTTTGAGCCCAGACTGAGGGTGGTCAGAGCAGCAGGCGTACGTCTGTTATCTTATCAGGTGGTGTGCCTGTCAATCAGACTTGCCCTATTATCCTGATACTATCACACAAAGTTAGACGAGAATAGCTTAGTTACTGATCAGTTACCATAAATGTATCGCGTGTGTATGCGTGAGTCTCTTTTTACATTTTTACCTAATTTCATTAGGTTTCCTAATTATGTTGTGTTGTAAAGTTCAACTTATTTACCTGATCTTCCCAATCCGGAGGCTCAGCGACACTCGGTGACCGTACGGAAGGAGAATTCTAAAGTTGCACAGCAACCCCGTGGACGGGTTCACCTCAAAGCTGAGGTTTCTCTGGGTGTATGTGACGTTGAAGCAGTAGTCCACTAGTCTGTAGTTGAGAGAGAACACCGCTCTCCCGACCACCTGGAGACGAACTGGAGTCTGGTCCTGAGGGAAGTACATCTCCCGTCCCGACAGAGGGATCTCCTCCAGCTTCCCACAGAGGATTTGCTCCCTCAGGACTATTGCTGGAACAAACGGAAACCTTGAAGATAATGCCGGTATGATCACTAAGGGTCGATTCACACACATCAGTTACGGAACGTCACAGTCCAGTCACAGTTAACAAAAATATTCTTTAATGGACTTTCTATTGCGCTATCTACACTTATCCGTTGCAGTCCCTTCAGTCGCTCTACCGGCATCCGTCAGTTAATTTCAGATTTCTTTCCACCGATGCTTTTGGATTGTTCGGACGACTGACGGACCGGTTTAAGGTTAGAAAATAGTGTTATTGTTGTTTAAACGGTTGTGTTTATATTTTGAGTACTGTTTGTAACAATAAACAAGATGGACAATGAAAACTTGATAGGATATAATTTAAAACTGTTGACTGTAAATTACTGTGAATTTTAGAGACGGAAGACTGACTGAAACCAACTGACGGACTATTGACTGAGAAATTGCGGATGCAACTGAGACTGAACTGTTACTGGACTGTAACGGAACTGTGACTTAACTGATATGTGTGAATCGACCTTAATGCTGAATGGGGAACACCAATTATCTCATTGGTAAAACCCCATCAATTCTGCATTTGACATTTTTTATTGACCCTTTGATTATGTCTAAGCTAAGGTAGGCTGCTCTCTTCAAAAAAATTGGTTCATCGTCTTTCCCAAAACGTACAACTTTCTAATGTAAGATTTATCCTTGACGTCAAACCACAGAATAAAGAGTAGACAATAACAATTAACATGCACAACAACTTTGATGTTGCAGCCTCCAGATAACCTTGAATATACGGTGTAAATACATACTTCATAGTCATCAATATTGTTGCTAATGCTGCAAATAGTTTCAAATTTCAAGAAGTCATCTTCAGACGTCAAAGTATGTTATGATCGAAGGTCGTACTATGTACAATGTACTAATGTGAATAGACGACCTTTTGACGAAGTGATCAAGCAAGACGCCTGAATATGCCTTCTTCAAAGTTGAACTAGTTGCAGCATTAGCAACAATTTGGGTTACTACGAAGCAAGTATTTACACCAATTTATACACAACCACTTTTCATTTTATTGAAAGTATAGTAATAAATTAAAGGGACTCGTTTAGTTAGAGTTGAAGATTGTATTTATTGTCGATTGTATTGAAGATTGTAATGGTTAGGGATGGAATTTATATGAAAAATGGGGGTTTTGCTGTTCACGCGTTAACCTTTTATTTTAATATGGCGCATAAAAAATTGGGCAATAGTGACAGGAATAGGTGGGAATGGTAAGTTCCTCCCTTCAGTGCATTCGATAAGTAGTCAAATGTTAGAGCATCATTGCTTTGAATAAGAGCTGAGAGCATTTTTTCGATACTATTTAGAACTTTGTTACCGTTCAATTGTAACAAAACTCAAAACTTATTTCACGTAACGAATGAACGCTAATCTTATTTATTGGCAACTATTTTATGTTTGAAGTTTTTGCAACCGTAAAAACCATTAATTAATTTCTATATATAGCCGTATTTTTTACGTACAGTAAAAATCAATACATTTTTATTATTTCAGAAAACTAACACACATTTAACCGTGTAAATTCATAAGTAATAGATCTACCAATACTTAAAAACATGAGTATTATAAATATCTATCAGCAGGTTTGTAAATGAATCTATAATCCTAACCATCAAAGTTACTTCAATTTACGAGTATTTTATTGTCATGTATCCGCAGTAGTTTTGACACCTACAAGCGCCAGCTAAATTTTTTTGTATATATTTATTAAAGATGTTCCCTAAATAATGTTTCAATCCCTCAATAGTTCACATTTCGTATGCATATAAATTATAAGCTATTTTATATAACTAAATGTGGGCAACAAAAACCTAGATTTTACCTTGTCCTCTATCAGTCACCCTCCTGGTTCCCGAGCCAGCAGGAATGAACCGAAGGTGACCCGAGGAACAGCGGATGTTGAGGCGGGTGAGGGTGATGACCAGACCAGGACCTCGAGGATGAGAGGATCCGCCTACCGGGAACTCAACGGAACAGTTCGGCCGAGTCCGGAACACTTCGGGCAGCGTCGTCGATGATAAGTTGTTTGCTTTGGTATTCAGTCTTAATATACAATCTGTAAAAGAATAAATTATACATCTAACAGAAGTTTTTTTCTCTGAGTTATTCAACAAGAGAATATGACAAGTGTATAACCAATATTGTTTACAAACCGTCGTGTAAATCGTCATATGTCATCCTGCTTTTTATGTGGTGTGTGGTTTAAAAACGTACAATTTTGCATAATGATTAAGACCCGTAGAATAAGCTAACACTTCTGCGTCCCGTCAAAGTAGCCAGTTTATGCATTTGAATTAATTCAGAAATGTTTTTAGACAGTAATTCAAGTCCGTACAGATGTCTAATGAGGCTGACACAAACAGTCGAAAACAGAGAAATCAACAAATTAAAGTTTGGACAAACAGACTGATGTAAGTTGTGATTATTAAAGCTGTAGCGAAAAATAATAACATCAATATTACAGATAGTATAGCAATTAAGCGCATAAGAAGTGAAAGATAAAAAAAATCGTTTTCTTTATCTGTAAGATGGATTGTCCCAACTACTATACAATAACACAAACAAACGTTACTGAATAAATTGCATTACCTATTCCACAGTCAATAAACAAGTTGTAAGCTTCGATATGTGTTGAATAAAAATATACTTAATTTTTGGAAATGGTCAATTACTTCACCTTTCAGTATTGGGACGTGAAAGAAAGTTTCGAACACAGTGTCTTCTTGTTTTCTGTACCGTATTCTGAAACACAACAAATTAAATGTAAGAAGAATGACAGCGATAAACCTTCTTACACCAACACATTCTAAATTTAAAAAATTAGTAAAAAAACATAAATGTTGTATTAATAGGTTTTTAAAAAGAGACATGGTGGTTTCTGTCTTATTCTGTAATGTCTAAACGATGAAGGATACCGATATTTCGAAGCCATGAGTCTAAACATGAATCTGTGACCTCAATAATGATCATCCTTAGTTTAAACTTGCATTTCAGATCATTAAAATGTAACTATACACAGTGTACCCACTAATTACCTTACTAATTACTTTAATATACTCTTTTTCTTATAGACCAATAGTAGGCTGGGTTAGGAGTGGTTGTTTATTTAATACGCGGAAACACCTTTTGTTTTTACTTACTTATACAAATATATACCGGTTGTTCCGTATACAGACAATCCAAGTTTTGAGATTTTTACACGAATCATGTAATTTGCTTTACATAAACTAATCTTCACGTCAAACTCATATATTAGTTATCCTCTGAGGTGTGTTAAACTTCCCAAGCACGGGTGATTACATAAATCTATATTGGAAAACCGGGCTTAACTTGAGTTATAACTGATATGTTTACCTAATGGATATTTTGAAGGTAGCCATGATTGTTATTATGTGTTTTGGTAAATATTATTAACATTTTAGTGCCACAAGGTGCCACTGAATTATAAAACAATTCGGTACTAATATAACGGGTAAGTTGTTGACTAATATGTTAGATAAACTAAAAGTAAACAAAAATATTTTGATTCATATTTAATTTTAATGGTGAAAGGACATCATCACAATTATTCTGTCCTGTTCATTTTTTACGTGGTTTAGTGAAAAAGGCGCTAACTCACCACAACCATCGTGAACGATAGTAATGTAAAAACAAAATGATTTTGATTGCCATAGATCCACAAAGCTATAGCTACAAAATATCTTTTCCAACAATTGTAAACGTAAACAAAAACTAATAAAACATGACCTGACCACTATATATTTTTTTTACTTGTTTAACTAAATCAATGTAATATCTCGGTATCCCCAAACATATGAATGCACTTCTTGAATGAGGTCATACATATTTAAAGCTCATTAGCTCAAAGGATGTGTGGGCTGTATGAAACAGGGCGACAGCGAGGAGAATCCTGTAGATTGTACCAACTGGGAACACTGTATGTTTCAAATACAACAAGCTGTGTGTCGGTATGTATTGGAATTAGTTCTACCCATCTAAACGAGTGCTTGATGATACAATTTGTCAATCAATGTACAGAGTTTTATTAAGATTGTTTGTACACCCTGATGGTAGGAAGTATGTTATAAATTCACATATTATACTGTTATGTGGTGTTTAGTTTAATTTACAGTGAATAGATTTAGTTTTATTCACTTTGACTGAGCTTTAAACCAGTGGACAGAATCAGATTGTATGCATAATGAAATGTTTGCTAACACCACAAACTATATGTTTAGCTTATACATACAGCTCCTTACAGCTAAACAATTAAGAAAATGCGCAAAATCAGAATGTAAAATCAAATAACAGAATATGTTTGATGGACACATAAACTATAGTGTCAAGGTTATATTATTTCGTCCCTTATGCATATACACAGACAAAGTTGAAAACTAGACAATGTTTTGTAGAATCAGCTAGATTGTACAACCTGATAACATAATAAATTGGGTAACTCCATAAACATGAAGCCTATATTGATCCCATTTTACCCATGCCACTTTCACAGATAAGCTTAATAACAAAAGATAACGTGCAGGATCCGTTACCTTGTATAAATTAATAACAAAATAAATTTAATACCAGAAGATGTAGTTTAGTAGCTCAAGTTTTTACATTGCCATTGATTTTGTTTCACTTTCAGCCGCTCAGATAAGCTTGATAACACTAGATAGCAGTGTGCAGAATCAGTTAGATCGCATGAGCTGATAAGAGGATACGTCTGATAACAACACACGGTAGCGCTGTGTTTATATTGATTTTGTCACAGTGGATTGTGTGGTCTGCACAAACAGGCATTTCATCCTGTGTTGACGATGTACGTTTTGTCATAAAATATTTCTTTGTGGTTTGTAAGTTTATTTTCCTGTTGTAAAAGGTTCAAACTACTATTTTCCCATGACCTTATACGCAATTTCATCTTAATTTTTTATTTGGGGCCATGTAAATATACTTGTTTTGAAACTATATAGGTCTTTTACATCAAAGGTCAATAAATTGTGAGTTATTGAGTTGTAGTATTAAAAAGAAAACTTGTGCGTCAACAAGAAATTTAGTGATGAAATTAGGAGCAGCTTCACCAAACTTTGCAGATCTATGTTTATAGACAATTTATACATACAAACCCTACACTATGCCACTACACTATGCTTACTACTCAATACTATGCCAAAATATTTTCACACTATACTAAATGTTGCAATGTTTGAAGTTATGTGAGAAAAATATGATTAACAAAGATAAGAACATTCAAAAAGCGTAGAATTAAATACAAAAACTATTCCATCAACACAAAGAGCTATTCTTATAGCTGTCTATATTTTATTCTAGGTTGACCTAGACCTAATATAAGATGCAATGTGTAATGTGTAGGAAACCACCACAGCAGTTTTTTATCGCCAAAATGTTGTCGAGCTAGATAGCGAATCAGTGCAGTTTGTAGCCAAATCGTGACCTAGCAAAGATGTGGCGGGTGGTAAAGGACACTGGTGCATCACATTACTTGCGACAATTTAAACATAGTCTCAAATAAAAATTGTTTTAAACTTAAACTTTTGCTAAAATTTAGTTATTAATTTTATATTTACCTTAAAAAAATAATGTTTCTTTAGATTAATTAAACAGATCAGTATTTTATAATAACGTCGGCGCGGCTCAAACTGTAAATATGATTGAAATTAAATATTGTGTGTGTATTTTGAAAATCAATAAATAGTAGCTGGATAACATAAATATATAAAAAACATACTGAACTGTTTTGTTTATATATTAAAGGAAATATTTTCTTGTATTTTATGTTTAATTCAGAATAAATGCATTATGAAAATAACACACACAAATGTTCTATATGAATAGGAAAATAATTTAGTTTGATATTATGATAGGGAAAAGAAGCTAGTTTAGAATTAAAACGTTACTTTTCCAAGTTAGAAACATTTAAATGCGTTATAATCTTTTTAAAGATTCTCGTTAATACCACTATAATGCCGATCTCTGATTACGGTAATAAAATAACACTTAACGCATAACTATGAAAAAGACATGCAGGTTAACACCTTTAGTTATAGATAGTCACCTGCAATATGGACACCCTATTTCAACTTTGTATCAAAAATCAACATAGAGCCGCGCCGATTTAAAATACGTGACCTTGCCTAATACAAAAGTTTACTTTAATGAAATTATTTCATTCTTTTTAGAGCGTTTGAAGTCGGTTGTATTTTTTTACAAAAATAAATTATATAATAACTAGTAGATAATCTATTTCGAGTAAAATTTCTACAAAGGCTTAAAAAAACTATAGAAAACCATTATAAATTATTTACATACATCTTTTTGAAGTACATAAAGAATTTTCTCGGGTAAGATATTGTAGGCTTAAAATTATACTTAAGCTTAAAAAATTAATCATCACATATTAATATAACATTATGTAATATGTTTTCTCACATCACCTTTATTTATAAATCCATTACATTGTCTGCTGTTGGCTTATATCCAAGTTGACTATGATTTAATAAGTCTACAACACGTATTGTGGTTGCTATATATAATCTCATAAGCCACCGTGTACATCTGTGAAATATACCCACAGAGTGTTGCAGTTAATTTAATAACTCCGCTAGAGCCAACTACTTCTGGGACTAAGGTTTTATTGTTTCTAAAGTATGAAATACACTCAGGGTTAACTCTTAATAAGTTTTTTTACCTTTTACGTCCAAAATAAAACTTAAACGTTTTATCGTCCAATGTGCCTTTAATGTCACAGGTACTTTTTAATACTTTTTAATTACTTTTAATTACTTTTAATTACGTTTTAGTACAGTAATCCAAAAAGTTATGAGATTGTGGAAAAAAATATTTAACTTTTTATGTATATGTGTGTACTATGTATATGTGTAAACACGGACTTTATTTTGTAGTTATCTGTATTGTACAATTGCCCTTCAAGTTAAAAAAACAGCAATACACCCACGAATAACCTGTATGGAATAAACCATCGAAATTGTGAATACGGTATCACAGAAACCCAGGATGACAAACATATGTTTGTAGTTCTGACAGAAACCCCTACCATAAAATTACAAAGTAGGCCTACCTTAATTAGTTATGATGGTCTACAAGGATGCATTCTTTAGTTTATGTCTTCAATAAAATAGAACCTATAAAAATTTTATTTTTTAATTGTTTGGATTGAAAAGAAATGGTGTAAACAAAATGTCATTAAGACCAATCACTTCTGTTGAACTTAAAGGTGGTTTGAAAGAAACAACCTTTTAGTTGAAATATTATGTTTAATCAGTTAAGGATTTCACACTTCACAGGGATGTTATTCAGTATAGTTTTGGCACGTTTCTATAAATCTGTTTGAACAAAGGGGAATTAAAAAATTAAATTCCTGACTTTGCTACCAAACTGAATAATTGCTGGTTCAATAGATATTTGTTAATATAGTAGAAATCAAGTTTATTGATCTGTCTAAACAGTGAGTTACTACCTACTGGAAAAATAATAAATTCATTTGAGTTCAGAAAATATTATAATGATACAAAATTAAATTAACCCTTTACAAATCAAATCAAAACTATTCTCTTGATGAGATATTTAAGTCCAAATTGGAATAGACAGAGAGGAATGATGTGTAGAGATGTACTCACGACCTCGAAGAGAAGAAATTAATGAATGTTCGTTAATACCAAGTAATGGAGATTAACACTTCTTGAGAAAATAAAATATAACAC